GGAAGCCGCGAGGATAAACAGGCGTGTAAGGCAGAGTACTTACATCGGCGTGGCCTGGTATCCCGTTGGCTCGTAACTAAAACGAATGCGAACTAGCGAGCTATGTTTTCGCTTGTGAGGGTTAAGAGAGGGGGAAAGTAGCAACCCCCTTCACGATAATATTTGCCCAGGCGCAGCGCCATAATAACGCGAACCCGCAAGCGGAAGGCTGCTCTTTTCTGGTCACCAGCGTCGAGTGAAGCCCCTGCTCTTTTGTTCACGTTCGAACGAGTCAAATTTTCATTAAACATTAGATTTGTTTGCGCTGAACTACTACAGGTAGGAGTATTCGGCGTCGAACAGACGTTCTAGTTAGTCGTCCGCGAGATAGTCAGGTTTACGTTTAGTGTTTCTTCAATTAACACACGGGAAGTAAAAATTACCCGCTGTGAAGGAAACATTAAAAGTTTGGCTTGAAAAGTGAAAGTAGGCAACGAGCGAGGAATTGCCACGGGTATTCAGTGAAGTGCAAGGGACATTTCGGCACGTGGGGCGTAGTCAGAGGCGGCCAGTAGCAGACGAGGGAAGAAGAAGAGGCCGAGGACTTGGGGCTGCACGAGGAAGAAGAGTGATCGACACGGAAAGAAGAAGGAAGAGGAACGCAACAAGGCTAACGCAGACGGCAGAGGCGAATCCGTTTCTTACAAGCAGAGGTTGGGGACGGCGGAGCGGCGCCACGAGCGACCAGCGCAAGCGACTCAAGGCAAAATTGCGAGTACACGAGTACAGTTAGGAACGCGCAGAAAATAGGTCAAGTTCACGTCGCAAAGGGAAAACTAGTATATTGGAAAGTGTCAAGAATTTGAGGACACGGGTGGCAAAAATTCAGTATTATAGTAGGAGACGTTTTGAATGGCGCTAAATGCCTGCCTAAAAAATTCTACTTAGTGGAATTTATTATTTCGCTATTTTCAGACCAGTAATTGTTATTAGAGTAGTGCACTTGCACACATTTGTTCTTTACTGTAATATCTTGAAGGAAAGATTGTAATTGAATTTTTTGATTTCACGTGCAATGTAATTAGAATAGCACAAATTTAGATATAATTAATTTTCCAAGGGAATTCCCAGTGTAGTTTAGGGTATTATTTCTGAGTAATCAATCTTCAAGTAAATCCCTGTGTTCTTTCACATGAGTGTGTGTTGTAAAGGTTTTTCTATCTGTGTTTTGATTATTCTTTGTAAAGTGTGCTTCTATATTCTTGGTTTGGTCCTTAACTTATGCACTAAAGTTTTGGTAAATTAAATACGCTCGTTTTGTAGTGTTCACACATGAGACGGTGGTGTTATGGGGTTGCACAATCCCATAACGTCACAATATATATATTTGAGAGAGAGATATATAAGAGGTCCAAAATTGATGTGGGTGGGATTGTAGCATAGTACCTAGCATAGTAGGCAGAATAAGAAGGAAAATACAAAACTTTGAGTGAAAGCAAACTGTGCTATACGTTTAATCTTCAATAAGAGGCCGAGAATCGCTGGCCTCTTATTGTCAATTGCTGGCAATTCGGCAACTCGTTAGACGCACATACGTTTCCCGCTTTCGTGTTAAAGCGCCTCAAATGTCGTGACACATAAATATGATATGGGACACCAAGTAGAATGAAGAAGACAAACAGGGCAAGGTATGAAGAATAAGGGGAAACGGAAAAGAAAAGAAGATAAGTAGGCGGAAAAGTTGAAATTTAGGTGAAGAAATAGTAGAAGGAGAAAAAATCAACAAATAAAGAAGAAGAAGGGGAGGAGAAAAAGAATTTACGTCTCTTATGCTGTAATGTACACAATGAAACCTTCACGGATGTTCTGATACATTTTAGGGCGTACTCATACTTCGTAGCATATTTTGTCAAAATCGTTCGAAGCTGGACTCCAGAATAACTAGAATTTGATGTTTGATGATTTACACCCAGCGGAATGTTTGCATGAGTCTTTCTAATCATAATTTAAAATAAGTATTCTCTGACCATCAGATGATGTTCATGAATCATTAACTGGGTACTTAGTCATTAATGATAATCAACTGGCCACTTTTACGTGCTGGCGACCTTAACCTAATTCGCGCTGTGATGTGATTGACCTATAGACATGTACGCTTACACGACCTTGCGGTTACCTTGAACCTGCGCCAGAAAAATCAACTGGTGAGAATACCGCTCATGCACGCGCCCAACTTTATTGAGGAATTCTTTCCAGAATGAAATGTGAAAACGAGAACGAAACTTTGTATAAACATGTTGATTGCGAGTCATACAGCTGTTTCTTTCGTTGATCTTTAATATCAATTGCTTATTATGGCGTTTCAAAAGCTCTTCTGATTAAATGATCCCCAAAACTAAACACTAAGAAAATTAAAGCAGGTTCCTTCATCGCCAT